TTATAACAAACAAAGCTGCTATGAACATAGTTGAGCACATGTCCTTGTGCACGATTGAGCATCCTTTGGATATATACTGAAAAGTGATATTACTGGGTCTTGAGGAAGGTTATTTCCTAATTTTCTGAGATATTGCCACACTGACATCCAAAGGGGTTGTACCAGCTTGCATTCCCACCAGCAATGCAGAAGTGTTCCCTTTTCCCCACAACCTCTCCAGCATAAGTTGTCATCAGTGTTTTTGATCTTGGCCATTCTTACAGGTGTAAGATCGAATCTCAGAGTTGTTTTCATTTGCATTTCTCAGATGACTAAGGATGCTGAACATTTCCTTAAGTGTCTTTCAGCCATTTTAGATTCCTCTGTTGAGAGTTCTCTGTTTAGGTCTGGACTCCATTTTTTTTTATTGGATTATGTGATCTTTTGGTGCCCAATTTCTTGAGTTCTTTGTATATTTTGGAGATCAGACCTCTGTCTGATATGGGGTTAGTGAAGATCTTTTCCCATTCTGTAGGCTATCATTTTGTCTTGTTGACTATGTCCTTTGCTTTACAGAAGTTTTTCAGTCTCAGGTGGTCCCATTTATTGTTTCTCTCAGTGTCTATGATGCTGGGGTTCTCTTTAGGAAGTGGTTCCCTGTGCCAATGCGTTCAAGTGTACTTCCCACTTTCTCTTCTATAAGGTTCAGTGTAGCTGGCTTTATGTTGAGGTCTTTGATCCATTTGGACTTGAGTTTTGTGCATGGTGATAGATATGGCTCTATTTTCATTTTTCTACATGTTGATATCCAGTTATGCCAGCACCATTTGTTAAGTATGCTTTCTTTTTTCATTTGATATTTTTTGCTTCTTTATCAAAGATCATGTGTTTGAAGATGTGTGGATTAATATCTGGGTCTTCTATTTGGTTTCATTGGTCCTCCTGTCTGTTCTTATGCCAGTACCAGGCTGTTTTCAGTACTGAAGCTCTGTAGTAGAGTTTGAAGTTAGGGATTGTGATGCCTCCAAAGTTCTTTTATTGTACAGGATTGTTTTGGCTATCCTGGATTTTTTTGCTTTTCCAAATGATGTTAAATACTGTTCTTTTGAGATCTTTGAAGAATTTTGCTGGAATTTTGATGGGCATTGTGTTGAATCTGTAAACTGTTTTTGGTAAGATTGCCATTTTTACTATGTTAATTCTGCCTACTTAATAGCATGGGATATCTTTCCATTTTCTGGTGTCTTCTTCAATTTCTTTCTTCAAATATTTAAAGTTTTTGTCATACATGTCTTCCACTTGTTTGGTTAGAGTTACTCTGAGATATTTTATGTTATTTGTGGCTATTGTGAAGGGTGTTGATTCTCCGATTTCTTCCCCAGTTCTTTTATCATCTGTGTACAGGAAGGCTACTGATTGTTTCTTTAGTTAATCTTGTATCCTATTACAATGCTGAAAGTGTTTTTGAGTTGTAGAATTTCCTTGGTAGAATTTTTGGGATCACTTATATAAACTATTATATCATCAGCAAACAGTGAGAGTTTGACTTCTTCTTTTCCAATTTGTATACCTTGATCTCTCTTTGGTGCCATATTGCTCTATCTAGGACCTCAAGAACTATATTGAATAGATATGGAGAAAGTGGACAACCTTGTCTTGTTCCTGATTTCAGTGGAATCGTTGGGAGTTTCTCTCCATTTAGTTTGATGTTGACTGTTGACTTACTGTATATTGCCTTAATTATGTTTAGGTATGTTCCTTGTATCCCTGTTGTCTCCAAGACCTTTATCATGAAGGGATGTTGTATTTTCTCAAATGCTTTTTCAGCATCTAATGAGATGATCATGTGGTTTTTACTTTTCAGCTTGTTTATATGGTGGATTACGCTGACAGATTTTTGTATGTTGAACCATTCCTACATCTGTGGGATGAAGCTGACTTGATCATGGTGGATGATGGTTCTGATGTGTTCTTGGATTTGATTTGCTAGTATTTTATTTAGTATTTTTGCATCAATGTTCATGAGTGATATTGGTCTATAATTCTCTTTCTTAGTAATGTCTTTCTGTGGTTTGGGTATCAGGGTAATTATAGCCTCTTAAAAAGAGTTTTGCATTGTTCCTTCTGTTTCTATTGTGTGGAATAATTTGAGGAGTATTGGTATTAGTTCTCCTTTGAAAGTCTTGTAGAATTCTGAGCTGAAACCATCTGATCCTGGCTTTTTTTGGTTGGGAAACTTTTGATGACTGTTTCTTTTTCTTCAGCAGTTATAGGTCTGTTTAATTTGCTTATCTGATCTTGATTTAATTTTAGTAAGTAATATTTATCCAGAAAGTTGTCCATTTCCTTTAAATTTTCCAATTTTGTGGAGTACAAGTTTTCAAAATATAACTTGATTATCCTCTGTATTTCCTCTGTGTCTGTTTTATGTCCCCCTTTTCATTTCTGATTTTGTTAATCTGGATATTCTCTCTCTGCCTTTTGGTTAGTTTGGATAAAGGTTTGTCTATTTTGTTGATTTTCTAGAAGAACCAGCTCTTTGTCTCATTGATTCTTTGTATTGTTTTCTGTGTTTCTATTTTGCTGGGATTTTGATGGCACTCTTCCATTTGTTAAGGGAGTTTTTCACTTCCTCTTTAAAGGTCTCCAACATTCTCATAAAGTTACATTTAAAGTCATTTTCTTCTACTTCTTTTGGGTTAGGATGATCAAATTTTCCTCTTGTGTAACCACTGAGTTCTGGTGTTACCATGATGCTTTTTAGGGTGTTGGAGGAATTCTTGCATTGGCACCTGCCCATTTCTTCCTTCAAATGAGGCCGGCAGTGTCTTTGCCTCCTGGTCCAATCTTTGCTGTGGCTGTCTGAGTGTGTGGGAGGTTTTCTTGGTCTGCTCTGTACTGTCAATGTCTGTGTCAGAAAACCTCTGAGGTCTTCATAAGTCTGCTCTCTTGGTCTTCTCTCCTGGTTTGCTCTCTTGGTGCTCTCTCTTAATCCCCTCAGTGTTGTAGCAAGCTCTTGGTTCCCTCAGTATCACAGCAAGCTTTCAGCTCTTAGGTGGGGTGTAGTTAGTAGCTTGGGGGTCCAGTGGATAGGTTTTGGTTTGGGGGGAGCTTCCTGCTGGCTGACTAGAAAAGCTGAGGGAGTTGGGCAAGGGCACCTGGGTTCTGTCCCACTGGGGAGGTCCTAGAGAGTGGGGCATCTGGCCGTGTGGCTGTTGACTCACCTCTTAAATCCCCACAGTATTGGAGCAAGCTGTGTTTCAGAGTTCCACCGAGATTGCAGTAAATAGGCGGAATTGGGTGCGGGGTGTAGCTAATAGTTTGGATGGTGGCTGGATGTGGGCAAGTCTAGCCATGTGGCTGTTCACTCACCTCATAAGTCCCCTCGGTATTGGAGCAAGCTGTGTTTCAGAGTTCCACCGAGACTGCAGGCAAATAGGTGGGTTTTCACACGTCTGCTTTCATGTCATATGTTTGGTTAAACCTAGGTTCTGCATATGAGAGGGAATACATGTTTGTCTTTTTGCCTTGCATTATCCTTTTTTGTTGTTGCTGTTTTTGTTCTTGGTTTTTTGAGACAGGATTTCTCTGTGTAACAGTTCTGGCTGGAACTCACTTTGTACACTAGGCTGGCCTCGAACTCACAGAGATCTGCCTGCCTCTGCGTCCCAAGTGCTAGGATTAAAGGAATGTGCCACCACCACCCAGTTCAGTTAGCTTTCTTAACTCATACAATCTAAGATTCCCTAACCCAGGAAATGGTGCCACCCACAGTAAGTCAGTCCTTTTACCTCAACATGACCAAGACAATCCCCTACAGGATTACAGTCGCAGGAGAGTGTAGATTTGTCAAATTGACAGTACTAATTATCACAGCTAATCTAGGCTATGTGGGATCCTGTCTCAAACAGATACATTTATTTGTTTGTTTGTTTGTTTTTTTAAGTGAGACAATGTTTGGCTATGCAGCTCTGGGTGACTGGTTTTAAATTCTATAAACCAGGTTTACTAGAACTCAAAATCTTTTAGCCTCAGCTTCCTAAGTGCTGTGGTTACAGAGTATGTGGAGATGGAAATTTTCTCTGTCCCTCCGATCCCACTGAACCAGTCTCTTTCTGCCCACTGGGTCCCTGCGGCCACGTATGATACTAAGCTCTAAGACTTAATATCAGTTACAATTGTTTGGCCAATGCCTTAGGCTTCTTACTGACTAGCTCTCTCTTATAAATTAACCTATGTCTATGTGTCACCATATGGTTGGGGCTTACCAGTGATGCCATGGCATCTCACTTCCCTGGGGGGCTACATGGCATCTGCCCGACTTCACCTTCTCTTTCTTCCTAACTTTGTTTCAATTTCCCACCTAAGTATATTTTGCCTGGCCATTGACTGAAACAGCTTTATTCATCAACCAATAAGAAAAATACATAATCACAGCGTACAGAAGGACATCCTACATCAGGTGTGTGCCATCACACCCAAACAATTTACTTTTTTTAAGGATTCATTTATTTTATGTATATGGTGCTCTATCTGCATATACACCTGCATGCTAGAAGAGGTCATCAGATCCCATTATAGACAGTTGGGAGCCACCATGTGGTTGTTGGGAATTATTCTTGGGACCCCTGGAAGAGCTGCCAACATTCTTAACTGTTGAGCCATATCTCCAGCCCTGAACAGTTTACTTTTGAAATTGTTTATAAAATTATTTGAAAATAGAGGCATATGCCTTTGTTGCTTTCAAGAGTCTATAAAACAGATGTTCCACCTGAAGGGAACTTCTCAAACTGTGGAGGAAATGTGGGGAGAACACTGTCTTGTGATCATTTGTGTGTCATAGGGACTTTTAGTGTCAGTTAGTGGAGCTAGGCTGTGACAATCCTCAAAGAGTTTCCCCTCCAGCAGCAGAGATTGCAAAGCAGGGATAAACAATGCTAGCCCATAATGTGCCTGCAGCTCCAGCGGTCCTGGTTGTGATGTGGTGGACAAGAAAACAGATTTCTTTGTTATCTCTACAGAGGCCAAAGCAGGCCAAGTGCTGACATGGAACAGGCGTCATCAACAGGCAGAACGGTGCACATTACTGTGACCAACGGCTATGATTTGGTAAATTGATTCTTGGGAACCCACAAAGTCCCTATGTAGGAGCGTGGGGGAAGAGTGATGCTGTACCTCATTTTACTCCCTCTAAGCACAGTGATCTTCTCCCAGTTATGTCATGTTCTTAGCTTATACTCAGCAAGTTGTAATGGTAAATGTCTAAACTACCTGGCCTTTTGAATGCTAAACTTAGCAGGTAGAAACAAACCTGTCTTAGTCAGGGTTTCTATTGCTCTAAAGAGATAGTATGACCATAAAGGAAAATATTTAATTGTGGTAGCTTACAGTAAAGAGGTTAAGTCCATTGTCATCATGGCAAGAAGCTTGGTGGCATTCAGTCAGACTTAGCACTGGAGAAGGAGCTGAGAGTTCTACATCCAGTTTCTAAGGTAGCAGGAAGAGAGAGACATTGGGCCTGGCTTGAGCATCTGAAACCCCGAAGCTTGCCCCCAGTGACACACTTCCTCCAACAAGGCCTCTCCTAACAGTGCCACTGCCTGTGAGCCTGTGGGGCTCTTTTCATTCATACCACCACAAAGTCATTCCTGTCTTGCTAAGTAATTTCCCCACCCTACTCTGTTTCTTTTGAGGCAGAGTTTCACTATCCCAGGCTAGCCTCAAATTCAGAGCAATCCTCCAGTCTCAATCTCCTAGACTCTGAAATTACAGCACAAGTCACCACATCTGGCTTATAAATTTTACCCTATTCTTCTGAAAAGGTTTTAAATTTTGTGAATTCTTTCAGTGATTAATTTCATTTTAGGATTTCAAATAAGAGAACTGCAATAACTACTAAAAATTTGGTAAATACTGAAATGGGAAAATATTCACTGCCCTGAAGTTTACAGAAGGATTCTTTAAAAGGACATAGTTAATGAGCTGTTTGTTTAATAATGTGTATGTCAAAATGTACACATGCATACATATTCACAATGAGACATAAAATTATATTCTGAAATGTTAATAGTGCTTGCACATTAGAATAAGGCTACAGGAAATTTATTTCTCTGTGTATTTTTCTCAAATTTTAAAGATATATAGCAATATATTTTTAGGATCAGATAATACAAAAAGTGATACCTTTTTAAACTTTAATGAAAATTACTCTTAAGTAGAATGTTGCATTTAGCTAGAACTGCATTTGTTTAATGATTTTCTACTTGTCCCATTTGTATTTGTGGTGTAGCTTGTTAGAGAAAAAAACAAAATGATGATTAGTTCAGGATAAGATAGGCTACCAGATACGCAGAAAAGTCATGTATTTGAAATTGTAATGTGACGTTTCTGCCCACAGAAAGGCTTTAAAGGAGACACCCCAGTTACTTTTGTTCGCGCAGAGTTCAACCAGGCAGTTCTCGGAGACTCTGCAAAAACCACTGTCTCTCCAGAAGGGACGGCTAAGTACAGTTTTACTAGCAGTGTTGAGCTCAGTCCGGACGGAGGAGTCACTCTAGATGACCTCGCCCACAAGCCTTTGTTCCGTAAGTCTCATGGTTCAAGGGCACTGTGCAGAGATTCTGAGTACTCAGCACTGTGACGGGAGGGCTGCATGTTCCTCACACTGCATGGAGGGCTACATATTCCTCACACTGCACGGAGAGCTGCATGTTCCTCACACTGCACGGAGAGCTGCATGTTCCTCACACTGCACGGAG